AAGGGCAGAGTGGAGATTATAATGTTCGTGCTTTGGGCAGCACGTAGTTTGTCAACATGTTGAACTGGCTTTACTTCAATGTTGCGATTTGGCTTGACAGTTATTGTCTCACTGTAGCTTATACATAAAACGTCAAATTTTGTAGTGTATTCGAGCTTGCGTTGACGGTGCGCCGAAAGTGAACAACAGGAAAACCCTGGAATATTTCGAGGGTTAGTGGGTTTGTTAATATCATTGACAGTGCTTTAAAAATCAACGTCAAATTCAGTACAGAACACTGTTGCAAGAAATGTAAGAGAAGCGAATTTAGAAATTCAATAGCGGTACCATTTGTTTCAAGTAATGCTGCAAAATGAAATAACGGAAGAAATTTTTCCGGAAGTCTGCAAACTGCTTAGAATTCTTCTCATTAGTCCTACTTGAGAAGCTGAACGACCATTTTCAACAGTGAAGTAGATAAAAACATTTTATAGAACTATAATGACAACGAGCGATCGTGCGCCCTCGCAATCCTGTCAATTACTAGTAGAGAAGTAACTTATCTGTGAAATCAGTTACTTCATGATGGAGAATTTTGTTCATCTGAAAATCTGCGATTGGATTTTCAAGTAAAAGTAAGATCGCAATTTCCTCTTTCTGTGTAGATTGTGAAACCACACCCGTGCCCTGACTCACCTGATTCCCTGGTTATGGCAATCCAGCGTTGCCCCGGCTGCTTAATCCGTAGACCCTTTAAAGGGAGGCATGAGTGATGGAGTTTAATCTGGTTCTAATACTGCATTGAAATGCATAGTATTTTCAAAGGTGGATTTAATGTTCCCTTCGCATGATTAGCCTCCCGTTATAATTTTTTCGTAAAACTAACTTATCTTATTCGGCCATCCGGGCCAGAGTTTAAGGTTGGAAGCAGGGCAGCGTCCTTCCCGGCGGTCACGACCCCGGTTACGGGAGTGGCGACTCTTGGCCCTGGTGCTTGGCGCGGCCGGGCAACGGCGGCAGGTGGCGTCAACGAGCGCCAGCAACGCTAGTCCGGGCATCGGCAGCGCGGTTCGCGGCTGCGGTGGTTGCACCTCAGCCCGTCGTCAGTCCTGGGCTCGCGGTCGGGCTCCCACAGTCGTGGCCCGTGACGTTCGCCCTGAGTTAGCGACCCCAGAGGCGGCCCGCGGTGGCGATGATGCATCCACTGGCGTCCCCCCGTAAGCCAAAGAAACTCGCCCTCGTCCCTACCTCGGAAAAGCATTTCTACTCGGTGTCGTCTATCGGAATGACAGCTTACGTTTCGCTTCTATTTCCTTCAGCTTCGCGGGTTATGTGGCCCACCCGCTTCGTTTTCCGCGATAGGCGGGCGCCCATCACTCGGTTTCGTCCGCACAATCGCGGCGTCATTGATGTGCGTTTGAGTCCCGCCAAATTCTGTTGGAACTCAAACGTCACTCAAGTTCCGAGAATAGGTGTAGCTGAATTGCTGGGTTAGGAGATAGCGGCGTCCGTGAGTCAGCGTAAGCGGTCGGGAGACGGCTGTGCCGAGACAATAGAGCTGCATGCCTCCGCGACCCGACGATCTCTACTCCATCGCAGGTAGAAAAAAATGCTCATTTCCTGGCCTCTTTCACAGCAACATTATATTGCATAAAATATTGAAATAAACGTCGCAACCTGACTCGTGCAACCGTCCCATTACAATTGATGTCTCGTTCCGAATGTTGCGTAATTAAACTATTGTAACATGGAGATTGTACGTTCAGAACGGTGAAGTTGTTAAGTAATGTAAAGCAATAAATGCATTCTTTTTCATGATTGGTTATTAATATTAATTTTCTTCGAAAATTCTCTGGTCGGGTCGCAACAGTAATGTAACGTCGTGGGTAGGGATCTACGCCATAAGGAAAACAGACACGAGTGAGTATATACAAGTTTATTTACATAGATGTACATATATTCAAAGCCTCACTCTTAAGGCGCTTTGTTAGAGCCACAACTGCAGCCCCCTCTCCCTACATGTGCTTTCCGGCGACAGGCCTGCTAGGTCGCCTCGCAAATTGGCACCTGGTGTGCCCCGGCAGATCGACAATCTGCCTGACAGTGTTCGAGGAACACGTCGCCTGGTCCGAACACATCGACCACCACGTGCCATCGGCACTCCGCACCAGCCTGGGCGGACCACATTTTGTGGACTCGCCAGGAGGAAACCAGAGTTGCAGCACCCTTAAATTTAACTCTCCCACCGCCTCTGCTAATAAGTCTTTTTTATTGAGTTCTTAACGGATTCCAGGCACGCTGACCTGTTCGCCCTCCCTTTACTTCAGTCAGCTTGGTATAGGGCCACAACCCTCGTCCTCCTCTGTATGAAGCAGCTCTTAGGCCCATCTGTTTTTCTTTGTGTTAACGGAATCTGTCAAGTGGTCCTCTTGTTTATGCCAGCAGGTTATGCGTGAGTTTATCTCTTTTGTAAGGAAGGATTAGATTTAATGGGAGATACATTGTGAATGAGGTCTGTTCCACCGTGCAGGATCAGGGAATAACACCATCTACAATGTGCACTTGCCTCTCCCTCACCCACACACAAGCTCCTACACCATCCAGGCAGGCCAGAGCTTGACTGATACGATTCAAAAGATGATGCATCGAAAGCAGTAAAGCTGACTACGCTGCAATATATGGCAACACAAACATGCCTAAGTTGTGCTTGGACCTGCAGCTCCTTGGACTAATAATAGAACCTGCATTGCTAAATTTGTGTTGGCAAATTACGTTCGTAATTACAAATGCTTGATAAGATAGCATTTTTCTACGCAAAACACTTCCTTCCTTTGCCCCCTATTTGTGGCAAATGATATCGCCGCTTTAAAGCATTTTTTGCCTGAAAATTTGTGCTTGTTTTTACTTCATCTTGCACAACAGATGCTACATTCAGAAAAAGTAGAGAGATAGAGCTCAAGATGATTCCTTGTACGTGTGCAGAGAAAGGTCATGGGTTCAGTTGCTTTTACACGTTTTACAATTAATGTAAGGAAGTTAATTTCATACCTTTAAGAGTTAGAGTATATAGGTCCTGAGTTTTCCTCTGCACAGCAGAATCAACTAAGCTCAGATAACTTGCCTGTAGTTGAGTGCTACCAGAGGTTACAATGAGGCAGGAAAGTAGTTTCCAGCCAGCATGCAAGGTTTTAAAAACTCCTACAAAGCTATTGAGAAGGCAAGGATATATGTAACTACCATATAAAAATATTACTTATTGCTCAGAAGCTTACAAGTTATAAAACAAAAACACATTATTAAAACATTTAACACACTTCTGGATATATTACAACTTTATGACACTTAAGCAGAAACGTATTGGTATGTATGTAAATTTTACTTGTTGCAAGTGGACACTGCCTTCTTACATAAAGTTCAATGTATGAGATGTAGAAAGAGTAAGCAATTACAATTGTGAGAAGAGAAACAACTGCAAAACATGAATTGTCAGAAAAATTGTGGTTTTCAAGGATTGATGTCAGTCCACTACTTATTTTATGAATGACATTCAAAAACTTATACTTGTAATAAAAAATTGGTCACATGTTATAATCTTTAAAACAGCATATCTTCTAAAAAACAAAACTAACAGATTTCAAAAATTTTATCTCGTGTTCAAGGACAGGCAGTACAGATGATATGCTCAGGAACTGTTCGAATGACTAAGAAAAACTAGTGCTACAACAGCACAGACTTTTACATATTATTTCTAATGGTAACGTAATAAAATACGGTTTAGATGAATCCTTGCAAAAACTTCACAAATTTCAATTTGACGGCATATGCTTTTGTAGCTAGTGGTTAGTAACTTCACTTAGAGATTGCCTTAGACCCAACACACACCTTGACAATGTTACAAATCTGCACAACAATTCATCTCGACAGGAATTTGAATTCAAGGATGTAGGTTTCCGCTTTCTATGCACTAACCATTATACCACTAATCATTTGACATTTCAGTGGCTACAATACACCTATACAAATAAATCTTTAATCTTTGAGAAAATATGAAGTTGAATTTGGGCCAAACATCTGAAGGGTTTCATGTGAAGTACCCCCCAAAATAAAAAGATCCATTTCAAATTTGCAGGGTCCTGATTTCAGTCAGATGAATCACACAGTACATCCATTTTGGAGAAAATCCAATGTGTGGCTTCGGTATTAAGTGTTATTCACAGACAGATGGACAGACTCGCAAAGCTATGTTTGGAAAAAAAAAACTTTTTGGAAATGAGGGCGTTGCAAAAAGTATTTCCATCAAAATCTCAACATAGAATTTTTGCTGCATTGCATAACCTTATTCTGTGTTTATGGGGAGGAAAGAAAAAAGAAAAAGAAAGAACTTTCAATACAAAAAGTAATTTTTAAAATATTTTGACTACAATCAACCAAGTATTTAGTTCACGATATGTTTAATGAGCAAGGTTTGCACGATATAGGTGCTGATTTTTTTAATTATCCATATAAAAAAAATGTGGTAAAAAAGTGTAAATGGATTATTGGCAGAAATTAATATGATTTAAAAAATTTAAAATTGTTATAATGCAGTAAAATGTTTCAACAACATTGTTACATAAGGTGAATGATAAAAACTCAAAAAGAAATTTGCTTAAAAAAGACATTATTAACAGGTACTGCACTGCCTAGCATAATCATCTAATTTATTTTTAAAAATTGTAAGATTGTTAAAATAATGTTAGAAATTTTAAAGGTCGAATCTACATAGAAATCTAAAAGAAACAAAAATTAATTTCTGGATGCTCATTATTACCAATTAATGCAGTCTAAGAGTTATGACATTAAATATGGAAGGAAGTAAAGGAATTTAATTACTAAGGAATGAAATATTTTCGTAATTGTAACAAAAAAAGAAAAAAAAATTGTTAGGTAAAAGACAAACAAATTTTCCATAAAGAAATTGTGGTACATCTTCCATTTAAACAGAACACTCATATTTGAGAATCAAAACTGAATTTAATGATTCCGAATCTAGGAGTTTCTGGGAAATGGTAATTCCATATATAAAGAATAAAACAAAAAACAAATTGTAATTTCATTATGTAGACATTTCTTCTATTATCCACTGGTGTTTGTATCCACACAGTAAAAATACATTTTTTTCCCTCAAAATTATTTAATGTTAAAACCTCAAAATCACATACCATAATACTGTTGGGAGATAAAATCTTTTAATGTACAAAATCTTAAATAACTTTAATTCAATGCAAAAATGGGGTAATCCAAATTACACAGCCTAACAATAAATAAATCTAACCTTAAATGTAATATTTGATAACATTGCCTTTCCAAAAACAGTACATCCTGAAAAATAATGGGTCACTTAGGAAATTCCCAGGAAGAGAACTACTGTAGCCAGAGACTATAATGTGTTGTTGATAATGAAGTCTTAACTGTTTTGGCATGGTCGACCAAAACAGCTTCACAAATTTTGTATATTTCTTAGATATACCGCAACTTAACAAAACAATAAATAGGAATTCAAAAAAAGAAGAGGAACTATACTTTCTGCTTGTGCAATTTGTAATATCAAAACAAAAGTTATCATCAGAATAACAAATATTACAAAAGTAACAAAAACTCGTGAAAATCAATGTTATGGTTTTTAAACTATACAAAAATCATAGAATACTTAAAATCTATAATTGTAAATGCAATATATCTATTAAAAAAATTAACAGTAAATTACATCATTCTTTACACTTATATACAAATACTAAAAAAACAAACAAAAAAAAAAAAAAACTGAATTGAATCTGTATTAATTCTGTGATTAGATGAATATAAATAAATGTACAATTTTTTTTCTACTACTGGTGGGACTTAAACAAAAGTAAGCACCCACTCACTGAATATTTAATTATATGTACATAATGTAGATTTTGTGCCTTTGACACGTGTAAGGAATGAGGGCAATCACAAACTGAACTTTTTAACATTCAATTATTTTTACCTGTTTGTAATTGACTTTCATTTTTCTAGTCTGGCCTATTAGTTTTAACTCAGTTTTTCAATACACAACACAACATCACTTTTAGTTTGTTTTTTTCTATACTCGTTCTAGATATCTTTATTTCAACTTTTCATTCCAAACTTGTAAATGATATCAAAGATACTCTTCTGGCACAAAACTTCTGCATATATGATGTGGTTAATATTCTTTAAAAGATTGTAATAGACTTAACTTGCTCACTGAATAAAAGGCATACTAGAGTATTACCTTTTGAACTGGAGATCCTAGAAGAATAAATACATATTTGCTAAAAACAATATGAAGGGATCCTGTTCTGCAGCAAATTGTGGTAGAACAAAACTAAAGTTGATTGTTTTTCTCCAGATGTCTTACAATCCACGGAAGGTGGATTTTGAATTTTTTGTTATGATTAATCAATAATATGTTGGCTTTCTCAGGCCGAAAGAAGATGCTCTTGAATATATATGCATCCTGCAGTGGTGTTTTTGGTAAAACCATTATGGATATGCATGTGCTGAGAGAATGCATACAATAAACATGAACAGCAAAGATGAAGTTGCCATGTTTGGATGTAGTAGTATTCAAGGTGGTCTACTTTAAAAACCTTTGAAAAAAGTTCTGAATTCCATTCATAAGCGACATTGTCCGGAAAAGCAATTCTGTTGATAACTAGCACATTCTCTTGTACTTTTTGATGATGGTAATGTTTGCTTAGGAATTTTCAGAGATTTTGTTGGAGTCAATGGTTTGACAAATTCTCAACGTTTCAGCTGTCTAACATGTCACTAGTTCTGACAATTTTGTTACAGGCAACTTAAAGGTCAGCTAAGGTCAGAATGAGTTGCATTCCAAATGAGGAGCAACTTAAGAAGCACAGAAGGGGCAGACTTGCTTGCCCAAAGCTGTAATATTTAAATTAACATGAAAATCAGTGATGATTTGAATGAACCAAAATTATTGTATACTATTCATTGAAGATAAAAACTTAATGGACATTTGTTTCTGAATCAAATAGTCACAGCTAGAAAGGTATTAAATTTGTTACTGAATAGTATCACACAATTAAGGGTTACCTTACACATTTGGATGAAGTCTTAACAAGATGTCTTCTGAAGCAAAGGATGCACATGTTGCTTGTGGAATCTTGATGACATTAGCAATATTTGATACAGGTGAAGCATATAGTTGGAGAAATGAAACTGATGGGCATGAGCTTCAGTAGATCAGAAGGAACTGAAAAGTTGAAAAGCACATCTACTGTAAAATGGAAGTAGTTCATAAGTTTTACTCCTTATTTGATATTCATATTAGAGTGATAATTTTAAATTTATACATATGGATGAATAATATTCAATGTGCCTGCAGTTGGGAGAGAAAAAAATAATCAAATTTTCATCTAAGTCAATAAACCTTTAACTTGGCAAGCAAAGATTAACTCGAGGAAAATTTAATTAAAAATAAATTACTTACTATTATGGTTTATAAAAAGCGAAAAAAGTAATATACTTCTTGTTTTGCAATCTTAGGTCCCAGAATTTGTATGTAGCTCAATACATTGCAAAGTTCCCCTAATAGAGAGTATGCATCTTGAGAGATACTGGGTCAATAATAACTTGAATAATTTGTAAGATTAGATAATAATTTGTAGATATAAAACTCATCACAAATTGAGGATGAATAAAGTTTGATAGCTTTACCAACTCAATCTTTGCCACCTATGTTAATCTGATGAGTTATCTCTTGCATTTTTAATTTTAAAAAGTTGATCCATTATGTTAAGATATAATATTATTAGACATCTGATGTTACTGAAAATGCCTATTTTACCTTAATGAATCTTTTCTAAGATTGGAACGGCATAAATGAATCATGTGAAATAAATATTCTTGACAGTTAGTAATGTCAAATACTGTCATTAAGATATTTAAAGGCACTTGAAAGAAGCCATATAGTACTTTTTGTTTCTTATGTAAAATGTCATGTAACATTGACATAGCAAGCTATCTCGGTTATGTTCAATAATTATAGTGAAACTTTTCATTACTTCTGAAAAAATACATACACACTCCCACACCCACGCATTCATGTTGCTGCATATACACACCCTTTTTAACAACAAACCTCAGCTCATTATGTGCTGATGGATGCTCTTGTGGCTTTGTTCGGAAATGATATACTGAAATTGTGGCTGAGAAAAATGATGAAAAAGATGGTACAATACCACCTATTCTCATATCACATTATTTGACAATATATTCTAATTAATACCTTTTTAAGTGCCTCAACATTCTATATCTAGTTATTATCCAGAGGAATGAAATCAGCAAAATTACTTACAAATTGAAGTATTCCTCTCCACAAAACCAACCAAGAGCCTTCCTTAATGTTGTGTTCTGATTCGAGGACATATTTTCCAGATCACGAATAAGACTGAACAATGCCATCAATGAATGGGTCATAAGCTTGTACTCCGAGACCATCATTTGTGAATATGCTAAATTCAGGTCTTGACAAAATGGCATTCTGCACATCATCAAGCACTATATCATTAGGCCTAGAAACACAGCAGCAAACAAATATTCTGTCATTACAGAATACTGCAAAATGTTGTCTAATAGCAGATTATTAAAAATTCGTATAACTGAACAATGAATATTTTAACAATGAATCAATATAATATTTCAAGCAATATTTCACTAATGCTATACATTTTTGTAGTTTTATATTCTAAAATACCATTAACTATTTAATAGTTTTTTTAAATATTACAAAATATTTCAGAAAACTTACATTTTCTTGCAACGGCTCCATGCTTGGCTCATACTCCTTCTTAAGAGATCCTCGCATAAAGACTGGCATGCCTGGGTAGACCAGATACATTATATTACAATTCATTTTTACTACTGGATAACAAAGATTTTTAATCCTGAACTAATATACATTTCTCTCCCATTAAAGTGATAACTAATAATGTATTTTACAAAACTTTTAATATCATGAACATCTAGTTTGACCACTTGTATTAACTTTACTCTTTTTATAAAATCTGGGCTTTTATAAGAGATAGAACACAAGTTTCATGTTTACATTAGAAGCCCAGCAGAGTTTTGATTATGGACCTTTAACAATACTTTTTGAGAAGTGATATTGCAAAAATGTTTAACTAGATCAAAAGAACACTCTTACGAATAATAATAATTTCTTGTATAACAGAGTTATGCCACATTTCAAACATTTCTTGATGACACTGTTCTGTGAAACATGATGACTTATTGACCACACAACACAAATGGCAAAAAGAAATTTTTTTGGAAACAATAACTATAATATATTGGAAAAGTAATTTTTCCTGTATATGTACCTCTAAAATACAGAGTGCAAGGAGGAAATGTCAAAACATTGGAAATATGCTGTTTGGAGGACAATTTTAGGCATATTAAAAAAAAAAAAAAAACGTATTTATATAACCTAACTTTATAACAATAGGTCATCAGCATCACCTGTCATTATACAATTGTATATAAAAACATATTACAGTAAAACTTCACTTATACATTTTTTAGGGGACTGAAGGGGAAAAATGTGAGAAAAATACATAACTGAAATTGATTATGAGCAAAATAATAACTCGGTATTTTTTTTATTAACAGTTTTCCATTATTCAGCAATATCTACCTATCTATTGCCACTCTCCCTAACAACATTTTTTAAAAATTGTATCTAATTTAATCCTTGAAAGGGATTGCCTTTTCCTACTACTTTTTTCATTTAATATTGCGGACACAAAACCAGATAGAAGACGAACTATACTTCGATTTAAACACAGCTTCAGAGCCTTAAATTACAACTTTGGTCAGCTTAAAAAATATATCGTAGGATGAAGGTCATCATCGAAGAAGTCTCTTCTGAAGTGGAGGTAGCGGACATGCAATGAGAACCCAATGAGAACCTTACTGATGACTAGGGAGCAGATTTTAATTTTTTTGTTTTTTGTTTTAAATCGATTTCGACTTGCTTGTGACCAAGTGAAATGAGTGACATTTTACAGAAGAGACATAAAGCACTTCTGAATAATTATTTTTCTTTTTTTCTTACAATTATTTTTGATTAAGGTGCAATTAAGGAACCAATTTTATGTTCTTGTTTATTGTTCGTCAAAGTTTGTGTATAATTTTCATTAAGAGTGCACCATGCGTATTTTATGAGCACAATGATGATATGTCTATACCAATTTTAAGTGGCTCGTCCCCCCCCCCCCAGGCACGAATCTATGAAGACTTTTTCTCTCTCTTTTTTCCTTTCTTTACTTTAATTGATTTTTAATTTAAGTCTTTCTACACTGCCATGTATAAAAATAATTACCATTTATTTATGTCACAAATATATTATTATTGGACTATGATGGAACTGAGTAACAATTTTAAGATTTCTTCCATTTTCAGAAGTTTTTTTATACTATCAGTAGCAGGGCATTCAAGAATAACTTGAATTGTGTAAATTGGTGCTTTTTTTATTTCTGTTTTAACTCGTCTTTCTGAACAAACATCTTCATTTCTTTTGTAAATAATAAACAATTTACATCTTCCTGGTGTGTTAATGTTTCTGCAATGCAAATTTTTACTTAGAAAGTATTTTTGCAAACCAACTTTTGAGTGCTTATTGCAGCTCAGCAACCAAAATATCCAAGAAGTTTATCAAACAAAAAAAGCTTAAAATCCTCTTAAGAGCTTAGTTTCGTAGTTTTGACATTTTCTTCCCAAACAACCTATATTGTTCTAATAAGGTCAATGGAAAGTGTTATATTTAATGTCAAATAATTATCAGTTTGATGTGTGACAAATATTCAATCTTTTTGCATTGCATTTCCCATATACTACTCTGGTTTGTAATTTAGATATATTTCACACCACATATCGTCATTGCATCTGTAATACTGTTTATGTAACTTTAACAAAAATGAGTTTTGTAAACTTTAAGAAGCAACCACTTAAAATTGGTATAGACATATCATCATTGTGCTCATAAAATATGCATGGTGCACTTTTAATGAAAATTATACACAAACTTCGAGGAACAATAAACAAGAACATAAAATTGGTTCCTTAATTGCATCTTAATCAAAAATAATTGTAAGAAAAAAAGAAAAATAATTATTCAGAAGTGCTTTATGTCTCTTCTGTAAAATGTTACTCATTTCACTTGGTCACATACACAGATGTAATGATGATATTTCATTTACACATTTTTATGACACATCCTGGGCGTTTCAGTTACAGTTCATTATAATCCACAAAAAATGCTTTAGAAGCTTAAATATTTACCATGCTGTAAATTAACAGAAATGATCAAGAAAAGATACGAAATCAGAAACTCCTGTCTCCACAAACAACGAATTACAAACCTCAGTATTTTACTTTAAGTTACCTACATTGTAATTACGAATCAAATAACAAATCCTATAAATCCAAGGAAATCTCTAAATAATACTGAAAAATGGCGAAGAAATGTAATTTTCAGATAAACTAAACAATTGAAAACAACTCATTTATTCTCATCGCACAAATTATTTCAGTTGCAAATTATGAAGGAATTTTAAAAATTGTAAATTTAATTATATTTGTGGATCAATAATATTTTTATATTTTTGGAAAAGAATTAATAAAATTATTATATACTTCATTAGAAAAATAAAGTAAAGAAAAGAGATAAATACAGAATGATACAAAACCATATTTGTGATGGATAAACCAATAGAGAACTTGTACAGAAATATAGAACCAATATAGAGGTTAAATAAAAATTACGTACTCTGTTCAGAAGTTCCTCTGCAGCAGGATACATAACATCAGTACATATCATCTCTGGCTTCAAATTGATATCAAGTTGTGCTGTTGTATCTCGCAAAAAAGCACCAAAGAAAGTATCTGAATGTATCCACATCATTGAATTGGATGTTTTCTCTGGAGAGGGAGATGTCTTTAAATCTACAACATGTAATAAAACATACTCACCAGTCTTGCTTAGGGGTTATAAATTAATAAAACATCAACTAAACTATTGTCAGAAAAATGCAATTACAGTTTTCATTGTCTCAGCATTTCAAAATTATATGATACTTTTTTTAAAGTATTAGTCTAGTCAATTTCAATCTTATATTGACATGTTGAGATATGGAGAAAACACAGAAAAAAATTTGTCAACAAATTAGTTGACACACAAACTTCTTATTATGAAGTGTGCCTTGTAGCTTGTTTCATGCATGACATGGAAATGCTGACATGTTTCTTTTATTTTACTGTTTTGACATAAAATATTTTAATTTCTTTTTTTCTTTCATATAATGACCATTTAATAGAGCAAAAAAGAAAACATATAATATATAATATATTACAAAAGATTAACAATACATTACAAAAATGCTTTACTCCAATGACATTTTGACCTTTTGTTGGAGGGTCTTCATTAGGTTGTCAACACAGCAATTTGAACAAGTCGGAAAATGTCACAATTCATCAGAAACAAAAAATTTAAATTAATTTTTTACATAAAAGAAATTTTTATCTCAAGACAACTTGATGAAGAACCCCACATTTCGTCAAAATGTCAGAGTAAAGCTTTTTTGCAATATATAGTTAAATATATTAGTTTGTTTTTCTTTCTGGTGGTTGTTAGGTCTGATGGTTGTTAATTTAAAACAAAAATTGTATTAAACAGATGTAAATAATCAAATAATTATTTATTTTTTTAAACATGTGCCACATTTTATACAGTTTAACTACTTTGTTTATTAGAATAATGTGTATAATACACAGACTTGATTATTAAAAGAAACATAAATGTTCCTACGAGAAGTATATATGATTAAATTGTTCTGGAAAACAATACGCCTGTTATAATCATTATCTGTAGTAGTACAAAATGAGTCATTGATATGAAAATAAATTGTGTGCTATGTGTAAAATGTCACAAAGAATCATAAGATTGTCATTTTCAGAAACCACTAGCAATAAAACTGCATTCAGTAAATTATTTTCTATCCTGGACCTATCAGCCCTAACTGGATCCCTTACATTAACTGTGCTGGTTGAAAATGCAACAGGTTAAAATCTCACTGAAGATGTTTCTGTCTGCTGCTATAATTGGAACACCAATTTTTATTCCAAAAGGAGCTAGAAATTCAAAAACACTCAAAAGATATCATTCCTTGATAGATGTAATCACTGTATTTACCAAATATAAGACAATGTAAGTTTCAAGAGGACTGCTGATTTTTTCAATTTTTCTTTATTTTTTACTAATTCTTACTGTTCAATCACAATAAAATTATCACTTGTCGTATTGGCAACAGAATTGTTTTGTTGATAAAAAGTTAAGTCTTCTTGACTTGCACCGTCAGATTTTCTTTTTCTTCCTTTAATCATCACAATTGTTACCACTTTTGTTGTTTCTATCTTATGTTTTTGTCACTACCATCATTATCTTTACTTATATCACTGTTTCTTTCTGGTCCTCCTGCCATAATAGAAAATCTTCTGGCTCATGTCCTCCAGAAAGTTTTGCAGGTTTGCATGGTTTAATGCCTATAGGATCAAGTTGTGAACTGCGAACTCAACCATACCTTTAAAAAACCCATTAGTTTACATGTTGTGTTTTACATTCTAAACTGACAATCATTTGAGATTTTCTCTTTACCAGCCTGTTCTGAATTATCCGGCACATTGTTGGTGAATGTCAAGAAAAGTGTGAATATAATTAGGTATTATAGTTATGTATACACAGTTTATTATCACTTTTGCAGCTTATTGTTATGACTGTGTTTGAGTTTCTCAACAAGGAAAGGTTACGTAAAAGCATTGATCGCAACCAGGCATAATATGCAAAAGGAAGACAGACAATCTCATATTTTTAGAATGAGGTGGTTATTATATTGTTAGAATTAGAATTTGGCATGGCATGTTTATGCAAAGGGATTTTTTTATGAACACTATTCATCCTACAGTAGCACATTGATTTTAATGGCTATATTGCTGTTCAATATAGTCCAATATAGTTCAATCAGTTCCAATATTGTGATGATACAAATAAGTGAGTAAGATTGTGAGGGGTAGACAAGCGAAGAGAGGCCAAGATCGGTACACAGGGTCATGAACCTAGGGGAGTTATTGAATTGGAAGGGGCTATTGTGTCGAATGGGCAGACGGGCTGACACTCAAAAAGATTAAAAAATGTGTCTGAAGTTGTTTGTGACATCTTTTAGAATTTTCTTCAGTTGAGACACTGGTTAAAGTAGCTCAGTGCTACAACTATTGCTGCTGCGGCATCTCTGATTGGGAAGTCCTAGTGTTTGAGTTGCGATGGAGGCGGATTTTTGACACTATTTAAATTGCTGGGTTGAATTCAACTATTGTCAGGATAATTCTAGCTATTGGCTGTTTAAGAACATAGTTTTCCATGGTTTCTCCAGTCAACATCTGGCAAAGCCATAGCAGTACCTTCACATACAGGCCACGGACCATACGCGATCTTCCCTTCCCAATCCAGGTCACATTCTCGCCACAAGCACGCACATAGAAATATGCATTACTCTACCACGCATATCAGGAGACCAGTCGGGAGCTTAGAGCTTATCCTGCCTGGGGTGGTGCCCTGCTTGAAGAGATATTTGGAGAGGAAAATGGACATGTGCTAGCGGGGATGGAACACCACCACCCGGCTATAACGTACTCTTTACTTACATGACTAACGACCAAAATAATTGACACGGCCAAAAAAAACGAAATATTCAATCGGTTAGAGAGGTAGGTAGATGACGGCGCACTTCTGGGAACAGGACAACCGAATACCATTCAGACGAACACGAACGTGATATATCCCATTAGTCGATGCCTCGAAGCGCCTTAAGTGACAAATTTGTTTGCGGACGTATGAGAGAAGGTCATATGAGGTTGAACTTCCATCGCAGGTGTTATAAAAATGAAACTGCCCTTTATTGACAAGGTCAGTTTGACGCCATACATGGCAAACGAGGCAAGGTAAAATTGACCAATCATTCGTGACTTTAGCGACGTGTTCGAGCTGCACCAATCCGTACCAGACACGTATGCCTCCATTCAAACTTATCCTATGACAAGCAATGCAAGTGACAAGACGTAGGAGGATGGAGAGGGGGATTCAAGATATGAAGTTACGATAACTTGGGGGTCCGATGGCACCCACTAGTCACTTAACAACTTCATTTTCGAACTTACTGTCGGTATCTCACTTTATCGTAGAATCGGAATTAAGACATTCCGACCGAGATCTTCGTCCCAAGTATCGGAGTAACAAGTTACCATTCCGTTGCGTGCGGACGACTTACGGCAATGTAACGCTCACAATTCATTGTAAATAGTGATATATGTGTGCTAAGCGCCATTCCGCCTTGATTTAATTGCAAGAAGCACCGATGTGACTCCTGCTGGTCGAAGATGGCACACCTATAACGAGTAAAAATCTGCTTAGCCACCAGTATGGCCCAAAGCTACGAAAGACATGGCAGCGGTTTGGTAAGAGGAAAGCCAGGACCGTGGAAGCTGGACGCCGGCGGTGCCTTTGAAGTCCGTAGACAGCAGGCGACGGCAGGTTTTCTTCGGGGCAGCACCCACGCTACAATCGGCCTCTTTCGTAGGCGAGAGACGTGCGGCAACAGGAGTTTTAGCGGACAATAACCCGCATTACGGAACCCTCTTGACGGAGTGCGTCTTTCCCTTTCTCCCCATCACATGAAGATCGCGGTAAAACTGAATCCCTCATCAAGCGTATGAACGCTTTACGTCGGTCTCTGTGCATTTCCTGAACCACAATAGTAGTTAAAAAGTGTAACAGTGACATAGCCTCACAGTCTCAACGTATAATCGAATGTGCTTGCAACTTTCGACCATTGTATCCCATCATTTAGCTTTATTAAACTGTTTTGTAATTAAGTGAAGTATATGTTGTCATTTTACCCAGGCTTACATTTTCCTTGTCAGAAGTGGCATGTGAGCAGGTAACTCTTTTCAGAACTCACCTTCACTGCAATAAAAATTTAATTGGTTCTTGTCTATGAATTATGCTCGCTGCATACTACTCCAACCAGATTGTATGGTATCACACAAGAACAGAAAGGGCAGGAAGTCATCATACAATAGAATCAAACCTATTTCAATAAATGGTATCCATGCTACCAATCTTGGAATACGTTTCTTAGCAAATACCACAGTTATTTTGATCTATTAATGATAAATTGAAAATAGTATATGCATTGTAAACAAAACTGGACTGAGTCAATTAATGATGACTTAAACCTCAAAGAGGTAACTTTAAACCATTAGTCTTTATTTTGTAATCTGTAATGATTATATCTCACCAGAGGAAGATGGAATCAAGGAATCCACATCTACAATTTCTGTTTCCTCAGCAGTTCTTGAAGCCTCAGCAACATTTTCTAACCAGTCTTGCACCTCAGATGGTTCTGTCACAGTAGAATTCAAAGTGCTGTTAATTGCTGGCAGATTTTCTAATCTTTCATGCTCCTTTGTCTGGGATGGGAGAGGAGTTAATGCGTGCAAACGTGACCATTTTATTATATGCCGGACAGACCACTTTGCAAACCGAGATGGATCACTCTTCTGAAGAATAGCATGAACAGCATTTGCTCGCAATCTCTGCAAAATAATGGATTAAGTTACTTTAAACTTACGTGTGCAGTAAATTATATAAGATAAATGTACAAACCATGAAAATGAAATGCAAGAAGAAATAAATAAAATTTAACTGACAATACTCAGGTTCATGTAACTGTTTTGGAGCACAGGTCATCTTGGTAGCTTTATGCAAAAACAACAAGGCAGATACCAAGAGGTCTAGGTTTGGTTCCTGGTGGGTGTGACTCATGCTTTGAATAATTTGAAATATACAGGTGTTCTTGTTTGTGATGATTCACATGCAAAAGTAGGTCAGTATTCTACTTCTGGAAATAGTTTTGAAAAATACACGAACAAGAATAATATTCCTGAAGCTGATGATACATCTATTCATATATCTTATCTACCTACCTAAATCAGATGTGCTTACAACTTTCGACCATTGTATATCAAAACTGAAGAAACTAGAAAATCATGTGTATGTGTCTGTGCATTTTTCAGTAAGGTAGTGAAGGGTAAATGTACAGAAAGTGAACTTGAATACAACCGAAACAAAATAATTCCATACAGAATAATGACTAAAGAGGTAGTAAAGGTAAAATATATTGACCTGGAATGTAAAATCACTCATATTAAACTTATATACAAGTTCACTTTCTGTACATTTGCCCTTCACTACGTTACCAAAAAATGCATTAATATTTCACTTTTCTTAACAAACTTAGCATATTTTGACAATTTTCATTACCTCTGCACAGTGTCTCTTTCCAACAGGCCATGACAAAAACACATCTACACTTTTAGCACAGTATGGATGCTGTCGTTTGAACTTTGGATCATTCACTCGAACATCTACCAATGGCAGCTGCTTCAGTATCCAGATCACTGCTTGTTGATCATTAGTTATTCTTGGCACTTTTTGTTCAGCGTCTCTGGAGTCACATATGGAAAGCATTGACAACATGATTCATATTTTAATAATTATCATAAAATTGCACAAAACCTCCATTGTATCACTTGCACTAGTGGACAAGTCAATTCAACTGAATTATATGTCAGTAAATGCACCTTAAATAAAACAACATTGTTTTTAGAGTAATTAACTCAGATGTGTCTATTGTCCTTTGAGAAAAACAGTATGCAGAAATTTGAGGAGAGGCACATTGTGCAGTAAACACTAACTTTGTGCTACTACCATTGTTAATGAAAATAATCTCACCAATGTGATAAAGTAGACTATTTTACATTCCAAAAAGTCTCAATAAAAATTAAATTAAATTTGCTTTATGACACTTTTCTGAATACTTCATATTAGATATTTATGTAATCATTCACTGAAATTGAATTCTTACTTTTAACCTTTTTGAAGTTTCAAGTTAAAAGTCTGGAGACAAGCTCTATTACAATCAATAATTAAGATGTTTGACAATTACAAAATTCCTCAAAGTCATATACACTACGAATAAGTTTGTGTAAGCCATACTCATACATTGTTCTAATATTTTCTCTATGAGATCGGATGAATAAAATTGTGCAAAAACAACAAATGGTGAATGTGGAGTATATTTGAGAAAATCAGATTGAAGGTTATCATATCTGAGGCAGAGTGATTCTTCTAATATTTGTCACTGATATTTAAGAAATAGTCCCAATTTGGTTAAAAACAGTTTATATACATGGATTATGTAAAAACAGATTCATTCATTAAAATCATTCTCTTTAAAATAATGTTTCAACAAAAGTTGTTTGTCATCTTCAGGTATTATTTTTGTACAAATCTACAAAGAAGTTTACAAAGATATTTTAAAAAAATATTATCCAAAAAGGAAGTACATAATACAAGTTAAGTACACATTATAAGTAGATTGGGCCCACATGCTATCTTAAGCAATTCTATATGAGACTTTCACGTTGATGCTTGAAACGCTGCCTCCGCCAATGCAAATCCCAACTGTCTCAACCCCCACTCTCTCCTCCTCCAAAGTCACTTTCACTCCAGCTTGCCTCTGACCAAGCTCACAGCAAGGTGAGCTCTGTTTACGGATGGAGTTGACGACTTCCACATGGAGTACGAAAAACCTTCTGTCAACCATACCTCAGACCTCCAAGTCTCATATATAATTGCATAAGATAACAGGTGGGCCCAATCCACTTACAGTGTGTACGTATCGTGTATTATGTACTTAATTTTTAGATAATATTGAGAAAGAAAAAAAAGTCTTTGTAAATTTCTTTTTAGATTTTTACAAGTATAATACCTGAAGATGACAAACAACTTTCATTGAAACATCATTTTAAAGAGAATGTTCTTTACTGAATGAATCAATCCATTGTTATGTCATCCATGTAAATGTACTTTCTCAACTTGAGAAAATGAATCTTCTCAAAATGAAATTGCCATAGCTCTGATTTTAATTACATTTGAAATTCTGAAAATTGCAAAATTTTGAAATTTGTTCAACACTCAACTACTGTGTTTTTCAAGGTAGAGATATTTTTCTTAATGAAAACTATTTTTTTATACTAGATCTTCAAATAATATATATAAAACCATAAGTAGTTTTTGCATAATTTCAAATGAAACAGAGACAATTAAAAAAAAAAGTTTTTAGAAAATGGCTCCTTTTTTTCCTTGGAATTTTTTGCTCAAGCGGTTCAAAGTGTGCTTGAAAGTATGGCTTGTCAGACATTCATTAAAGCCTAAAGTTCATCATAAATGGCAAAATCATTTGTCAAAATATTTTATAGTTAGTGATTTTTTTTTTCGATAAAAATTAGTTCCCAACTGTATATAACAATCCAATATTATATTATCACTTTTCTTGCATATGTATAAATACAGTAAATCTAAAAACTTGGCACAAAGATTCAGGATGAGCATTACAATATAAGAAGAAAAGTTGCCTTTTTGAATTATGGTACATGTGGCTGACAAATGAAACGTATACATTGATATGCCCAAAGGGCAAATAAATAAATAATACATTATATAATAAAGCTTGGTACGCACTTCAGGCTAGTATCTGTTTCCTCTGGCACTTCTTTTAAGTGAGACTGTGATGATCCCAACACTGTTGACTTGCATTCAATATGCTTCTTTGAGTTTAGTGTTTTGCTGGTATCTGATGGAACAAACGGAATCGATGCAACACAGTTCTTTTTCAACAAACTTCGCCCTGTTTGGAGTGATGCTGGAGATGGCATTCCCTGAAATTTTCACATAGAAGAATTTGTTTCATTATTTAAATACAATTTCAGAAAGTATAATTATCATAAGTTGTCATTATAATAAGTCTCCTTTGTTGACAGTATTCACAAATGAGAAGAAAGTAAGAGCTATTAGTACAAAAAATAATTAATATAACCCAAACCCCATCAACATTGGCCACCAAAGCATATTTATATGGCACCCAGACCAATCCAACAGCTATACTGAAATATCTACAATATAACTACAGACTTACAAAGATCAAAAAAGATATGTTTATTTAGATGAACAGTCAACTGCAGTGGAGAGAAACTGAATCAATTTAATTTTTTGTATATATTCTTGAACACCTCTCACCAGAAAGCACACAGTAAACCGCTAACTGAAGTAAATTTATTATAGAACTCACCGTGATTGTTTGGAAAACCAAGTTGTTTCTAATATCTATTTTCTCCTCTACTGAACAATTTGAGACACGATTCACAATGGAGCCACCTGTTGGATGTGGTATTTGGATGTCCATGGAACTATTAAACATACCTGAAAGTAGTAAATCAGTAGTTTCACTTGCATTATAAGAATACCATAAAAGGGGAAAACTGTATGTGAAGAAAGAGATTAACCACCACATAATCGCATGTCGTCATGCACCAATGTTTACAAAGAGATAATACAGAACATCAGTTTATGAAATTTATTTATTTATTTATTTTCCCTACTTCAAGGGGCATGATGATGTAATGCAAGATAAAGTAAGCTTAATAAATAAAGTTGACTGTCTTGAAACTAAGATAAGATATAGAAATAATATCTATTAAAAAAAACAAAAAAAACACCAATTCTTTTCATCCATAATCTACATTTCTTTGTTACTAACAGTGCCAACTATTAGTCTAGGTCACTAATTCTTTTTTAAAATAAAGCTAATAATAATTGAACATAATGCCCACTATAAATTCTAATAAAAATTAACTCTATTTCCTCCATATCATATAAAATCTCTACATTAAATTCTCAAGTGCCTCCTCTATAACTATATTAATTCTTCCATGTAGAGCCTAGGGTTGGGTCCACTCCAATGGAAGTGAAGTGAAAGGGACAGTATGCATCAGCAGGTAGTCAGCTTTGTGCTGCTAAGGTGACCTCCCATCTCATATCTGAGGATGGCAATCTGTGTTAAACCAAATGTTAAGCTATGAGTATCTCTTGAAATTTCTTACTATGACATAAGTCCATAAACAGGACTTGTTCTTAATACCTTATTTATTTTTTAATTTAGGCATTGGTCCGGCTGATATAGCCTGTTTCATTCAATATCATAGTTTACAATGTTTTGGGTTTATATGCTCCTATTTAAAAATTTGGCCTCATATACAAAGATTTCCCTCCAGCAGGAAAGAATTTTGGAATACACCCATGTCATAAATGTTAATGTCTTTAATGTTAGAATTAAATCACTTCTGTTCTTAAAAGAAGTCATAATCTCAGTAGTTCATCATCGCATTTGCATCCAAGTTCATGCGGCAATTTCGTTGCTCTGCATTGGACCTTCTCGGTTACCTGGATATGTTTCTAATACTGTGGATTCCAGATATTCACCCCATATTCCAGGATTGGTAGAATGTATGAGTTATAAATTCTTTAAAACATATCCACTGTCAAAATGGCAAAAGTTGGATGGCAATGGCAATGGCAAAGTTGGAAAAGTTTTGTAGTTATTTTTTGGTATCCTATCAACACATTCATCTTACTTTATCTAGGTATTTATGGTAATTCCAGAGTCAGAAATAGATGTCATAAGTGTTCAACACCTGTCTGTTCAGAGTTCTTCCAACCAAGATTCCATATCTTGTATTTGCTGATAATCAAGGGAAGCTTCTGTGTAACTGACCATTCTTGGATTTTGTCTAAATCCTGATGAAGAATATGATGGAACATCAGTGGTTTAGTAAACAATTTCAAGTCATCTGCATACGCAACACATTCTGATGAGATTCCAATTCTCAAGTTACTAGTGTAGAAAATAAAAAGAAATGCTCTCAACACTGAGCCTTGAGACGCTTCATTGTAAACTTTTCTAGGTTATTAGACATCACCTCTGACTTGAGCCCTACAAGATCTATTAGGAAGGAAGGAATTTATCCACTGTAACAGATTGCCTCAAATTCTCATGTATTCAAGTTTATAAATTATTATTCTCTTGGAAAATTCGACAAAAGCTCTAGAAAAATCATGATGTGCAATGTCAACCAGATTGCTTTCGTCTAATTCTGCTGTCCAATACATAAGAGTAGATTAGTGACAGTCAACTTTGTGGAAACAAAACTGACTGTGTTGCCATGAACGGAATAACTTGCTAAGAATAGTAAAATCTCTCATTCTCTGTACAATGACCCTTCCCTGTAGTACTTGTGAGACTCGCTGACATTGGTGCAACTGGGGTGGGGGTGGGGGGCTCACAGGACTTTATTCACAAATATAGTTTTAACGAATTTTCTTTAGCAATGAATTTCATTCAATATCTCAATTGAATATGTTATAAATAATTATAAATCAACATATAAAAATAAATTTAAAAAAAATTAAATTTTCTTTATAAGAACACATCAAGTCAGGGACACACTACACCTTAACCCCCACACAGACACACACATCCATACACAAGAAAAATCTTGGTTGCACCTTCTCTGCTACTGTTCTAAAATTAGATGCTGAAGCTGCTTGTGTATTAAAAAATTCCTCTGAATATTGGGGTCACTGAAGCTTCTTTTCAATCCTTATGTAAAATTCCCATTTCAAATGAATCCCTGAAGGGTCTATTAAGATGAGGAGCAAGTAGTTGAGCACACTCCATTAGTAGAGTTATAGAGATTTTATCTGGTCCAGAGAAAGAGTCTAGGGAGGCCAAGACCTCAGTCATTTCTCCATTAGTGAATCTGATAGTCTCATTCAGCTCTTTTGTTTTCAATGGAGAAAGGGGTCCTTGTGGTTTCACTGTGAACACTTTCTGGAATTTGTTTGAAAAGAGTTTGGCTATTTGCTGTCTATCAGTAACAGGTTCTCCATACTCACTTTCAGTACGGAAGGAACCGAGGATTTTTTGTTAAGTTACTGTTGCAAATAAGCATAGAAAGGTTTTCCTACTGCCTTGGAAATTCCATCCTCATAGTCCTGCCTTGATCTTCATATTTTACAAGTCACCTGGTTACTCCATTCATCTACATTTCCTACATAAAGAGTCAGCTCTGCAAGAAATCAATGCCAAGAGAAAAATATGTTACTGTTTAAATGACATTCAATATTACTTGCAGGCCTGAAGCTTTCTCTTCAGCATATGTACGATGTGTCCATTGAGTATGTAGTTTTTGGATTCCAGGTTTACGTTCTGAGATCAGTTTGGATGTTTGAAATGAGTGTTATCATTATGTTGCCTCTAGCCCTTAAATTCATGTAACACATCTCTGGACCCAATACACATTTTTCCAGATATGCACATTTTAACTGCCATATTATACTTTGTAAATAAATATTTATTTATTTTGAGAATTATTCTCTAGTTGTATATGAAGGTGCAAGGGAGACAATTTAAGTTCATGGAACAAATGACTAATGAGGCTATAAATGTGAGGCAAGAGATTAGGAGAACCCTGAAAAACTCTTATCATGAATATTCTTTGCCACCCATTCCACATTGATAATGCAACCATTCTCTCAGAGGATAGAGAATAGTCGAACCATTCATTGAGCCATGGGTCTTCTCACCAACATTCTTTGTCCACTTTGATTTATGAGGAAAAACATAATTTACAATGCTCTTCAAAACCTACCAAAAAGCAATAAATGCAGACAATTTTTGAAAAAAGTAACATCTCTTCAATCATAAATAAAAAAAACAAGCTTGGTACAATATTCATTACAATAAGAATTTATGTTAAATAATATGTGATTCAAATGTTCAATCTGTTAATAAAATAAATTAAAATAAATATACATTTGCATGACTTTAAATTAATGCAAGAAATATGCAAGCTAATTAGTATTTATGGTGATTTTAATATCAACAAATGATACTCCTTTTGTAGTCCCCCATCCCTTCCCAACTGTCAGTTGAACCCTAGTAACATTGTTACCTTTCTGGTGGTTAATGTGATTCAAAAGTTTCCCATGTACAATATCCAGACTCATCCAAGAATGAATAGCTGTAAATATATCCAATAAAAGTAACAATAGTACCCAATTATAGGCAACACTAGTAATGTGAAAATTATAAAAACTAATCAAAAGTAATAATTGGCAAAGGTGAGATCTGAGCTCGTCTAACTTCTCTTGTGAGCTCGTCTAACTTCTCTCATGGGCATAATCAGTGGGGTCCATTAAATTCTTTCATTTTTTGTGTTACTATTTCAATTTCAATGATATGTATACATACCCTTCTGAATACCACATTTTGCTGGTTTCTCAAGTCTGATGTAGAAGAGGTTCCCTTCCGCATCAACACACTGCACTAGAGATGAGTTAGAAACAAAGCCGTTTCCAGGCATAGAAACTACACAATCCAAGTTCGTAGCATCTGGTTTTCTTTCTTTCTTCACCAATGATTGTCTATTATCACTAGAAACCATTGTGTTTAGAGGAAATGTTTGCAACTTCTCTCGTGACTTTTGTATGAGAACCAGTGGTGGTGGTACCAACGTGGACCAACTGGGCTCTTCATTCTGGTTTGTTACTTGCATCATCTCTTCTTTCATAGGATTCTTTCCTACAATGCCATCTGAACTATTCTGCTCTACACACAATGTGCATTTCAATATGAAGGTTTCAGATCCCAAGTAGTCATGATCAGGAAGGGTGTGAAGAACAAATCCTTTCCGAGATGAAGCAAGAAATGTTTTGTTGGTACTATCTATGTTAGTTTGCATTGCACCAGGTTCACTTTTAATCTGTAACACACAAAAAAGAAATTTTAAGAACATGAGAGGATCGTTAATCTAAAGACAATTGACAATTCTAAAATTTTGTACTTGAAGCAACTTAAGTTGTTTGGAATACCAAATACTTTTTCCAGAAAATTTTGTTGATGAATTTTGACTGAGCTATTTGCCTATGTATCCAAAAGTTGCTACTGGATCTACAAGGCTGTTGGTGCAGTTTTCAACACATTTCTACAAGAATCTGAGTTCTTTATACTTGCTTATATCACATCAAAGTATTCATGGCTGAACATTGAAAGTGATTTGAGATAAAATATATTTCTTTAATATTCAATAAAATTATAAAAAGGTCTAATCAGTTCAATTCTATAAACTTATATACAATAAAAGTATATAAAGCACATTAAAAGTTAATTATTTTAACCTAAACATATGTAAGGTTTCCTTTTGTCTTTAATATACCATAATGGGGAGGCATGCCCTTAAACAAGTGTCTAAGCAGGGGTGCATACTATACAAGGATGCAAACCACTGCATTACATGAAGCTGGCACCCTAGTTGAATTACATAATTACATTTTGTGAAGTCACAGAGGTTAAAGAAAAAGAGTTCCTGGACCCTGCAATAATGGGGTTCCTGAATGGATGATCATCTGGGAGCCCTGGAGATTTAATGGTACTGAGCCCCTGGATGAAGAGATAAAAGGCAATGAATGGCCAGGTTAAAGGAGGATTACTTCACTCCGCATTCAATGCTAGTATGTGGTTATTATAGAACACTGTTCCAAATTAACATATCAGAACTTACAGAAAAAAGCCTCAACATCATTTTCAATATTTTTTCATTCAATTTTTTACACAGAGAGCAATGCATGCTAATTAAAATGGTGCAGGTCTGAATTTCATGGAAACCTTTAATATTAGTTTTCATGTATTCATCTTTGATTGAATAAAGCAACAATTTTTTTTTTATAATGACTCCAAATGTTTTCTTTAATTTTTTTGCTCAATTAAGATAAATCCATCTCCTACCCAGACATCCCGGGTTAAAATCAGAGTCAGAAAAAAATATTTATTTTTTTCTTTCTTTAAACTTTTTGTAAGAATAGAGCACAATAAACTGAAATTCAATAGCTGAAAGCCACTTCCCTTTTAACTTTTGAAAATAAAAAAATTAAGGTATTTTTTTAAAATTATTATTAATTTGATTGGCCACATTGGACCACTTGAGTCGTTCCACTTCACTTTTTACTGTTCATGGTCGGCTGTCGAAGGTATCACCTCGAGGTGAGGAAAAATCCTCGAGTTACAATTCTGAATGTTATTCAGAAAGGTGATAATGAGAGATGGAGGATGATGGATGATAGGGGGTGAAAGGAAGAAACACAATACAACCATGCCCGAGGCGGGACTCGAACCCGCGATCTTTCGGTACGAGATCGCTACGGCACTACTGCCTCAACGATCTCGGCCACTGGATCGGTTTTTTTTTTTTTTTTTTTTTTTTTATATATGAATATATTAAAATATATAACCAATAATATGAGGAAGCATGTGCTGTTGTAGTCCCACTATTCTTATTTAATGCATAATATCAAGTTCAAAAATACTTTGAAACATAATAAGCTAATTACAAATTTTTCTACATAGTATATACTGTGCATAACCATTTGCACTTGATTGCCACACTCACTATTATGAAGCAAATAATTGGTTATAACTCTCCTTAATTTCAAGCAAAAATTTCTTCATTATTCATTTCAGTAAATTACGAATATCACCTTGACACATTGTTTCTGATGAAAGGTTATAAGCTCAATATGGACACATTGTAACCCACATTTCAGCCACAAGCTACTTGTTGGGAACATTAAAATCAAAGAACACCACATGAAATATATTTACAATTATATTCTCACTTACTTCCAATTTCACTTTCTTATCACACTTAATGAAATATTAGACAGTAAGAGAGATAGAAAAAAAGTAAACTATTTTTGAAACATCTTCAAGACAAGCAAAGAATTAATATCTTCCATGCAAAAATCACTATTTACCTGGAAGGTTTTAAAATCATGTTCCAGAGAGGAAGTTAGATGTTTCAAAAAATTGCTGCTAATGTTTTCCTACAACAAAAACAAAAATAAATGATAAGAATTTTAGAAGCAATAATGAAAATATTAAACACATCTTTTTATTTATATTTTATATATTGCACCTTTTTAATATTGTACTGAGCTAAGGGAAATTTTGCATTTTTATTTTTGTCTTAAAAAATTTAGTTTTGAATTAATTTTGAAAAATATTAACTTTTTACAATTTTCACAGATTTATTCACATTTGAAAACAGAAAAAATCTGAGTTATGTAGGTACTTTGATTTTAAAATGTAATGAATTAAAAACAATAAGTTTTTGGTTTCAATACACACAAAAGTAAAAGTCACTAAAAGAAATTATTACAAATACAATAGTTTGTTATTGTAAACTTCTGTTCTTAGGGTTGATAATGGACTAGGTAACTGTTCCACTAGCCCAAAGAACACTTTTCATAAAAAAATAATTTAACCGTTTCTAATCGAGGTCTATTTACATTGTGGTTTTCTACAGGTTGAAAGACATGAATGTGTAACTTCTAGTGTCACTTAATATCAGATTTCATCAGTGAACTTGAAAGGTATCTGCTAGATGATATTTAAAACTTTCAGCTGAACTTGTAGAGCACCTAACAGATGACAATTCTTGGAATGTGATATTTTTGATAAGATAAATTGATGAAACAATGATTTGAAGAGCATATTGTAGATAATCTGTGTCTATGTTGTTTTTTGAGATATTTATATCTATGTGAGATACATACTTTTGTTTTCTTCAAATCAGTCACTCTGTGTTAAGAAGTCAAAATGGTTTTTGAGTTTTTGTAATTGTAGCATCATATGTGTAGCATTGAGAATGATGAAAATGAAAATTTATTGATAGATGAGTGTGATAACAGTGATGATACTTTATTATTTAGTGATTGTGAATATATGATGATTACGAGCAAAGTTTTGAACATAAGCTCATACATAAACATACTTGGAGGATCCCTGGAACAACATCATACAATCAAATTGGCCATGTTCTGGTACATAAGAGACATTATACATCGATAATAGACATAAGATCAGCTAGAGGACCCAACTGTGACTCGGACCAATATCTGGTGCAAGGGTTATTGAAGGAGAAACTTCAATTTCTGGGAGAGTTCAAGGGATTAAAATAATGAAGTGGAATACAGAATCATTTAAGAAGAAGGAGTGTGTAGACACTTAAACAAAATAATTGACAATAATCTGATGGGTTTTAAGGAGAGAGAATCAGTAGAAGAACAAGGGGGATGCTTTAAGAAATCAATAGCAGAAAATGCCATTGGCATGGTAAAATATAAAGCAAATAATGGATGGTTTGCTAAAGAGTGTCAAGATGCACTAGAAGAAAGAAATAAAAATACGAAAATGATGATGCACAGAGGAATAAGAATGACAAAGGAAAAGTATAACTAAAGTAGAAAACAAGCTAGTAAGAGAATTTGAAAAAGGAAAAAGAATTTCTTAAATTTAAAATAGAGGAAATTGAACTTAATAATATTAATGAAAGTAGAAAATTCTATTAAGCAGTAAAAACTATGTCAAGAGGATATCAACCCAAAAGTGGTTTATGTTAAGATAAAAATGGCAAAATAATTTAGGATGAAAATGGAGTAATGAGAAGATGGGCTGAATTTTATAGAGAACTACTGAATAGGATAGATGAAGATAAAAATTAGCCTCAAGTGGAAGATGAAATGCTAGAAGACCTTAATAAGGAAATTGAAGTGATAACACCGACACTGGAGGAAATAAGAAAGGCTGACAATTGATCAGGTATGGTAAAGCACCAGGTGAAGATGGATTCATAGGAGATTTATTTAAAGGAGAGAATGAACTATTGAAGGCATTACATATTATGATATGTAAAATTTGAAATTTAAAAGAAATACCAAGAGAACAGAGAAATGGGCTTATAATAATTTTTAAAAAGGTGATAAGCTTGAGTGTAAAAAAAAAGGGCATTACATTATTAAAAATGGCTTATAAAATATATTCAAGATTAGAGAAAAAAAAAAGTAAATAATTGTGCAGAAAAAATACCAGATGACTACCAATGTGGATTCAGAATAAGTAGAGGAACCACTGATCAAATATTGACTATAAGGCAAATAATGGAAAGATGCTATGAATATAATATAGATCTACATATGCTCTTTATCCATTTCAAGCAAGCTTTTGATAGTATCAAATGGAAGCAACTAGTTATTGTTTTGAGGAAAGATGGAATGCCCAGTACACTAATTTAACTCATTAAAATTGCAAAGGTCCAATCAGAGTCCAAAGTATATATAGGAGGTAGGGTGAGTGAGAGTTTTAAAATGACGTTAGGTATTAAACAAGGAGATTCACTTTCTGCAATTCTTTTTAATCTAGCACTTCGTAGTGTAATAAGAGAACTTAATATTCGAGGAAGAATAATATATACATCTATACAATGTGTTGTGTATGTCGACTATGTGGTGCTAATGGGAAGAAATTGAGATATCCTAGAACAGTTTAAAAAACTGAAATGACATAGTAAGAAAATCGGCCTGTATATAAACGAGGATAAAACTAAGTACTTAAGAATGTCAGCATATGAGTCTAGGAGGAGGTTGCAGAATGTAAGGATAAATAGATATGTTAATTCACTATCTCCTTCAAAATATCTTAGAGTAAGCCTCAATAATACTAATAACATAACTGAAGAAATTAATAAGAGAGTGATGTATGGCAATAAAGCTTAGTATGCAAATATGAAACTCCTAAAATCTGTACTTTTTACTAGGAAAACTTAAAGTAAAACAATATAAAACAATAAACAGACCCATAATCACCTATGGAGCAGATGTATGGACTTTAACCAATAACGATATGGAGACCTTGTAGATTTGAAAGAAAAATGATGAGAAACATCTACGGTCCAGAGATGCATAGAGGGAGATAGATGATTAAGGGGGAGATAGATGGAGAATATGATATAATGAGGAAATTAATCATATTTTGAAAGGGAAGAATATAGTTGAGTCTGTGAAATCACATAGACTGTTCTGGCTGGGTCATATGCAGAGAATGCCTAACATTAAGCTACATGGTAAAATAATTGGTAGGCAAAAGAGGCAGACCAAGAACAAGGTGGATCCAGGATGTAAGCAGAGATATGAAGAAGATCAAGATTATTGGACAGTGGGAAAAGGTGAGAGAGAGAGAGAAAGAGAGAGAGAGAGAAAGAGAGAGAGAGAAAGAGAGAGAGAGAAAGATGACACTGCGCAGACAAACGGGGAGAGGGGAGGAAAGAGAGGAGAAAGACGAGAAGAGAAAGACTCGAGGCACTACGTACACTGAGAATCGTACGATCCAAGAGCCTCTCATCAGCAATCGAGACGAGAGAAAGATCGGAGAATAGCAAGACGAACGAGAGAAAAGAGAGCTCCGACAATGTGAGGCCAGCAACGAGAGAGAGAAGAGAGAGAGAAAGACGGCGAAGAGGTGGAGACGAGAGAGAAGAAAAACGACGAGAGAGAAAGAGACGCAGCCAATCAGAAGGAAGAAAGATGAGAGAGAGAGAAGAGAGAGCGACGAAAGACAGGAAGACACGATCGAGAGAAAGAGAGAGAAGAAAGAAGAGAGAGAAAGGAGAGAGAGAAAAGAGAGAGAGAAGACAAGAGAGAGACCGAAAAGAAGAAGAAAA